GACGAGGGCAATGAATGTACAAATGTGCTTTACACAATTGATGTATGTATGGATTGTGATAAGAGTCATATGAGCCCCTAATAAAACGATTAAAAAAAGGCGGGTGGGGAAAGAGTATGAGGTGCCTAGTGAGGTGCAGCCAGGGGACCTAAAAGTGGTGACTCAAGCTGAACTCAGGGACAGTTCTGGGGACAGAGGGACTGGCTCAGGAAAGGGCCAGGCGAGTGTGTGTACCCCACGTGTGTGTCCACTACTCTGACACTGTGGCTTTGAAATAGCCAGGCAGGATGGACCTCTTGGAGACGGGGTATGGAAATGGCAGGGACCTGGATTGGGGGTACAGAACAGGACCCCAGGGAGTCCTGCCTAGTATTTTCAGAGCCTCACCTGTCTTCCCTCCACCACCACCCTCCACCCAAGGTGGCTGAGCAGCTCATCAATCCATTTGGCGAAGATGATGATGACTTTGAGACCAATTGGATTGTTGACAGGAGCTTTCAGGTATGGGAGGGGGGAGGCTGTGTCTTGGATCCATCCCCAGAATGGACCTAGGGAGGGGACTCCACACAATGAGCCCTCCCCTGCCCCCACTGGCCTTCCACTCACATGATCCTCACCCCATCTTTGGGGGCTGCAGGTGGGCATCTGCCTGCCCATCTCACAGCCAGGGAAAACGAGGCCCAGTGTCTTTGGCCAGGCCCGGGTCCTGCTGGACTGACCTCTCAGTTGAACTTCTGCTTCTGTCCCTGGTGACCAGGTGTCCCTGTTGGCCGTGGATGAGATGCATCAGAACCTGCCGCCGCTGGAGCGGGACATGTACTGGAACGAGCGGGATCCACATCCCCCGTACACGGCCGCTTCCGCCCAGTCCCGACGACCCTCCTTCTTTGGGTCCACCTACACTATCAGGTGGGCAGAGTGGTGGGACCTCTGGGGCAGGTAGAAAAGCCTTCTTGGGCAGGGCTCTGTCTCAAGACTCAGGCCAACACGCAAGCATATTCTTCAGCTTGTGCCTGAGAGGGGCCGGGCGCTGGCCTGAGCCCTTTTGAGCCAGGAACTCTTTTCCCCTCCCAATCACCCTGGCTGGTTTCCAGAGAGGTTTCCGAAAGGTTAAGGAAGTTGCCAGCCCAACACCATATAGCTTACAAGAGGTTCACGTGAGCTAGCTATGCCTCATACCACCTGCCTTACTGCCTAACCCGTGCAGCATACAGACACACACACACACACACACACACACACACACTCAACCAACTGAGGAATTAACTGCCACCTCCTTCCTCACAGAGTGGCTAGTGGGTTCATACTGCCAAGTTTTCAATTCGCAGCTGAGAACCCTAACTGCTGCACCCCTGTGTTTACGGGAAGGCCTATTAGGGACTGCCACTTTAAACCTCCCTTTCCAAAGTTGGAAACTGAGGCCCAGGGAGGGAAGGTTCTTGCTCCAGGTCAGGTGTCTCAAGCGTCTGAGATGGAAGAGCCAATCCTATGCCTCACAATAACTTAAACAGCATTAAGAGAGCCACGGGCATATTTTTGTAAACGAGTGAAATCATCCCGATCTGAATAGCACCCTTGAAAGGTTTTCCGTTTCACTTCAGAGATGCACACACGGCTCAGAGCCGCAGTTTGCCAACCCTGGGCTAGGACAGCCAGTGATCGGGGCTGCGTCGGGGATTGCAGGCCCTGGTTGATGCATCTGAATTGTGTTGGCAACGAATATTGAAAATACCATGGATTGCCAGGACAAAGCAAGTGAGGAGGGTGAGACATTCACGGACTTTGGACACATTATCAGGGACAGTGGGTGTCAGCGTAAACCAATCTCTGACAACTGAGGGGTCCATAGGTGACAGTGTACCGCTACAATAGATACAGATCATAGTAAAGTTAGAGAGAGTAGGAGAAAAGATAAAGTAAAGGCGTCAGACATGTTCTATGGTCGAATGCTTACCTCTAGGACCCATGAGCTCAGAAGCCAGGTCTGCAGAGAGAGGGAGGAGCATATATGTCTAACCAAGGCTTATATATACCTAGGGGGGGTATAAGCCCCCCTGATTACAGGTAAACACATACGTAACAGGAATGGGTAGTACCATAGGTAATACAAGCCATGGAGGGAGGGGGTGTAAACGATCTAAGGCAGCGGTTCTAAACCTGTGGGCATGAACCCTTTGGGGGATGAATGACCCTTTCACAGGGGTTGTCCGATTCATAACAGTAGCAAAATTACAGTTATGAAGTAGCAGCGAAAGTAATTTTATGGTTGGGGGAGGGTGTTAGTCTGGGTAGATTAGAGAAAAAAATCCATGTACACACATATGTGTATAAGAAAGAGATTTATATACAAGAGCAATTGAACATTGAGAAAGCATCCCAGCCCAGGCCAGATCAAGTCCATAAGTCGGCTATTAGCCCATATGTCCAATCCCAATCTATAAAGTCCTCTTCAGACTCACAAAACACATGCAAGGATGCCGAGTATAGAAGATCACGGGCCAGTGGGTAGAAATGTCCTTGGATCCAGTGTCATTGGAAACAGCTCAGCGCTGGCAGGGGTCTCTGCATCAGGGTGGGCCCATGTGTCTTGCCAGCTGCTATGTCTCCCAGGGTGTGAGCAGAGAGTCTCCCACCTCCAAGGAGGAAGTACCGGATTCCCCAGAATTCTCAGGAGAAGGCCATGCCCACACAGAGGCCTCATTGGCTATGATCTGATTAACAAGCTAGACTCCACCCCTTCACTCTTAATCCTCAAATTGACAAATGATTATACAGTGAACCCTCGCCACTTTGCGCTTCGACTTCCGCGGCTTCACTCTATCACGGTTTTTGCGTAACAGCGCATGCTCTGTCATTACAGCCACTGATTGGCTCATACTGTACACGCTTCTGTCTGCATCGCTACGTATCGGAGCTACGTATCAGATGCATTTTTGCTTTTGTACAGTGTACTGTAACTGTTTGCGAGTGTAATGGTGACTAAAGGGTGTTTTTTCATGTCCTCTATGCTCTAACTACGAAAATATTTGATTTACAAATAAGGAATCCTACTTCGCGGAATTTCATTTATCACGGTAGGGTCTAGAACTGATGAACCGCGATAAACGAGGGTTCACTGTATATCTACCACAGGGGGTCACCACAACAAAGGGTGGCGGCATCAGGAAGGTTGAGAACCACTGATCTAAGGGGTGTACATGCAACAGGAAGGGGAGGGACTAGGGGTACACATGTGACAGGGTGGGCAGATCCTAGATTCAAGATGGCAGCCTCACCTTCGTTAATTCCTTGAGTTGGCTTGACCTTGTCTCTGGGCTCTCCTTCAGGGAAATAATCCACTATCCTTATCAGCAGGGGGTAGGCCCCACCTAGGGTGGGACAGACAAGAGTGTGATTGCTCTAAATGGCTGATGCCCGGAGGGAGAAAACGTCAGCGTAGCTGACCACCCACCACGAGCTAGCAAGCAGCATCCTAGGTTTGGCATAGATTTGGGGTACGACCTGGGGAAAACCCTTTTGCACCCCACAGATGGGTCCTTGGAAAAGGCCATCCTGCTTGGGGAAGTAGAGGGGCAAGACAAGAGGAAGACCCTCGACAAGATGGGTGGACACGGGGGGGCTGGAAGCCATCCTCTGTCCAGCAGAAGGAAACACTGCCCAGCCTGCGCCACCCTCACCATCGCTGCTGTGTTTTGAGCCCGTGGCTGCAGCCACTGTCTCAGTCTGCCTCGTCCGGGGGTCTTTCTTGTTGTTGCTCGGCCCCTCTACTTTACCGTGCACGGCGTCCTTCTGCGGGGACTAGTCCCGCCTGAAAACAAACAGCCAACAAACCCACACTCTGCCATCGAGTCGGTGCTGACTCATCATGACCCCCCCCCCCCACTGTGTGGTTCCGGGACCTTGGGAGCTGCTGGTGGTTTTGAACTGCCAACCGTGGGGAGTGCAACCACACTACCAGCAGGGCTCCTCGTCTCTCCGGATAGCAAAACTGTAGCATTCTGGCTGTACTTCTCCAAGAGGGATTGTTCTGTCGTGTGCTGATCTGGCGCTGCACGGCACTTTCCCCATCCTTGGGCAGTACGGTCATGCATAGGCTAAGGTGACCAGACGTCCCGCTTTTGGTGGGACAGTCCCAATTTTTAACAATTTTTCCCGCGTCAAGTGTGGCGTTTTAAAAACATCCCGATTGTTGGAAAGAATGCATGACAAGCTAGGGTATACGGTCTTCGGCTGCCATGTGGCTATTTTGCCAGGATATGAGTTTTATCAATGGTGTCCTGCTTTACCGATGTTAAAATCTGGTCACCTTAGCATAGGCTTCAATGCATTTGAATGAATGCTGGAGCAAGGGATCGCACTCGGAGTGGAGGGCACCGTTGGCTTTGAGGATAGAGCGTTTCGACGGGGGTGGGGTGGGGTGGGGGAGGTGGGGGTCGGGCAGGTCATGCTCTGGGACAGGGTGCTTCCTCACGCAGAGTGAAAAGCCTTGGGTTCCCCAAAGCTTGCTACCAGGCAGCCATCTCCCTTCCTTGCCAACCTCGCTCACTGGCTGGGACCATCACTCCCTGGCCTTGCCTGCCTGGACTCTCTCGGCCCCTCGCCCGAGCTGCTCTGGAAGGAACCGGTGAGGAAGAGGAAGCCCATTGGTGTCAGGCTTTGGATGAAATCATGGCCAGGAGGGGCCTTGGCAGTGGGGAGCTGGGCCTGAGGAGGGCTGGTGTAGCCCAAGGGAGAGCGGGAAGGGGGAAGGCTGCGTGGGGCCTGGCAGGGGCCAGAGGAGAGAGGACGGAAGGAAGGGAAAAGGGAGGTCAGGCCTAGCTCCTTTGGCAGGCAGTGAGCCCTTGCTCTCCCTCTCCTCGCCAGCATGGAGAAAGAGGACATGGAGTTCCAGCCAAGTAAGAGTGAGGATGATGAAGAGAGCAGCGGGCACCCAGGCATCATTGACCGCTTCCTGGGGCTGCAGTCCCACGAACACCCCCACAGGACAAACTCGAAGACCCGACTGCTCACACCTCATGGGAAGGAGTCCTTCCCCCACAAGAAGGGCTATGTGAAGCCCCAGTTCAAGGACCACAAGGGGGGTCCCGTGTACCTAGGAGGCCAGCGGTCCTACAGGGACCCGGAGGATGGCAAGGCCTGGAGAATGAGGATGGAGCCCTCCCGGCCGAGCCTCGTGAATGAAAGGTCGGGATACCACAGCGCTCCCGAGACGCCCCTTAACCACACCCCCATGGTCTTCCCACCAGCACCGACACGGAAGCCCGGCAGCCTCACTGACCTGGGCGCTGCAAGCCGGGGCCAGAGCCTGGGCGCTGCAAGCCAGGGGTCCAACAGCAGCTTGCAAACGCTCCGGAAGGAGCACCCAGAACTGGACTCTGGGCGGAGGAAAGCTGTGGAGTTCAACCTGCCAGACATGCTGAAGTCTTCTGAGTACCATGTCAGTGGCATGCCTGGCCGGCACCCGGGGAAGAGCTACTGGGACTTAGAGAGCAGGTCTGTCCTGGGGTCTCCATCCTCCCCCAGTTCCCACACCAAATAGCTGGACTTATTATACCCAGCGCCCCCGGAGGGGGGAGGGGGGCTCTAAAAACACTTTGGGGATCTTTGTTCATCTCACCAAGAACCTGGGGAGAAAGACCAGCTTGGGACCAGGAAGTAGCAGTGATCAGAAAACTCCGTCCCTCTGGGTTTCCAAGACTGTAGCTCTACAGGAGCAGAAAGCCTTGTCATTTTCCCTGGGAGCAGCTG